CCCCCACCCCACCCCCACCCCCCCAACCATTCACCCTTTCCTTCAACAGCCTCGGTTCACGAAGGAAGCAGGACGGCTCGGAAGGAGTCTTGTCTCTGCAGGGACAGGAGTTCCACTCAGCCCGCAGGGAGTGGGAGCAGGGGTGCACCCAGTGTCTAAAGAATCTTCACTGGCAAACGGCTTGGGGAAAAATCAAGCACCTGTTTCTTTCTACATCAGAAAGCACCATTGTGCCGTGCAACAGATTCACCTTGCCTAGGAAAAATCTCCTATTCTCTGAGACCACTCACAGCCAAAGTGGCCACCCTCCTCCTTGCCCCCACGACTAAAGCCAAGCAACCACTGAGGAGACGTGTCCCCGCCCACCTCTGGCTGATCGCTGATACCTGCTTTAACCCGGATATTCGGGCTCCTGATTTTTCCCGCTGAGTTCTCTGCGGTACAGAAATAGTCGTTGTCGTGGATAAAGCTATTGAAGGCAGACGGCGAGAAGGGGTAGAGCTGAAGGGTCCCGTTGGCATGAACATGGCGGATGTGCGGCACATCATAGATGTCGTCCCCAGTGGCAAGATACCAGCGGAGCGTGGCACTGGGAGAGCCGGCAGCTGGACAGGGGATCACCACCCCCACAGTGCTGGAGAAGGTCACCTGCTGAAGGGAGTCATTGACAAAGTAGAGGCTGGTGCCGACATCTTCTGTGTGTGCTGTGGAATGAGAAAAAAAAAAGATAAGTGACCTGGCCTTGGGAAGGGCGACATCCAAGGGCAGCCCGGTCAACCACAGCCACCAGCAGCTCCCCAGGCCATCTCACAGGGGCCACCAAAGAAACAGCTTGACATTTCAGATACTCTGTCCTATGCAGACAGAGACTGAGAAGCTGCCTCCCAAAGCAAGGCAAGGAAGTGCCTGCTGAAGGAAGCTCACGCTGAGCTCCCAGTGCAGATTTGCAAAGCCCTGGAACAGGGGTAGGCAGCCTTGTGCTGAAATACTGGACTACGGCTCCCATCAGCCTAAGCCATCAAAGCTGATGGAAGTGGCACCCCCACAGACCTGGAGGACAGTAGATTCCCAACTCATATAGCCTACAAGATTTCTGCTTTAAAAACACCAAATAGCCCCTCAAGGGAAGGAAGTGCTGAGGACTCAGGATGCATGCCTGCTTCCTGGTACAAAGCTTGCTGCTTCGAGGAGGACCCAAAGCCAGCAAAACAAAGAGAGGACACCCAGGGGGAAGGGGGGGGGTCAGCCTCCAAAGGCAGTCAATTATTTATTTATTATTTTATTTATTAAATTTATACCTCACCCATCTAGACTGAAGTCTACTCTGGGCCACTAACAATAATAGATAGAATAAAAACAATATAATAACATAAAAAACAACAGTAGTAATATACTGTACAGTAGTTCAAGATGGGAAAAATATTCAAGTGATGACAGGAGGGAAAGCCTGCCTAAAGAACCAGGTCTTAAGTTTGCTTTTAAAAACACCCAGCGAGGGAGCCAGATGGATCTCTGGGGGCAGACTGTGCCAAAGGCGAGGGGCCACTGCCGAGAAGGCCTGGTTTCTTGTTCTTTCTCTCCGTGACTCCCTTGGCGTTAGGCCCCTCAGCCGCCCTTCCTGGCTAGAATGAGTGATTTGAGTAGATCTAGGTGGGAGGAGGCGTTCTGCTAGATATCGAGGTCCTTAACTGTTTAGGGCTTTATATGTCATCATTAACACTTTGAAATCAATGCGGAAACGAATGGGCAGCCAATGCAAGGCAGCCAGAGTGGGGGAAATATTTTGATGTTTTCTCATCCCAGTAAGAAGTCTGGCCGCTGCATTCTTCACCATTTGAAGCTTCCGCATCAATCTCAAAGGTAGCCACATGTACAGCGTGTTACAGTAGTCTAATCTTGAGACTACAAGCACATGGACAGAGTGGTGAGTGCCCCAACATCAAGATAGGAATGTAGCCAGGTGATCCACCACAGATAGAAATAGGCATAGCGGACCACTGATGCCATCAGGGTTTGCATGGTGAGCGCCGGGCCCAGATGGACCCCCAAGCTGCGAACCACACTCTTCATTGTGAGACTCACCCCCACAAAAGAGACGGATTTTCCCATACCAATGATAGGGGGGCCACCCACCCTCAGGACCTCCATCTTGTCCGGGTTCAGCCTCAGTCCATTCTCCTGCATCCATTGCAGTACAGCCTCCATGTAGCGTTGAAGGGATGGAACAGCATCCACAGTGGTTGGAGAAAAGGAGATGTAGAGCTGGGTGTCATCAGCATACTGATGGCACAAAGCCCCACACCCCCTGATGACCCCACCCAACCGCCTCATGTAGATATTAAACAGCATTGGGGAGATAATCAAGCCCTACGGACCCCACAATTGAGACTCCATGGGGCCAAAACACTCTCCCCAAGCTGTACTCTCTGAGGACGGTCCTCCAGGAAGGATTGGAGCCAGGCAAGCGCCAGACCACCGATTCCCAGCTCGGAAAGCCTCCCCAGGAGGATACCATGGTCGACAGTATCGAAGGCGGTGAGATATTGAGGAGGACCAAGAAAGACATTTTGCCCGTCAGCCTCCCTCAGCAGGTCATCAAGCAGGGTGACCAATGCTGTTTCTGTACCGTGGCATGGCCTGAAGCCCAACTGGAATAGATCCAGGGCATTGGTTTCATCCAAAGGAGCTTGGAGCTGGTCAGCCGCCACCCTCTCTACCGCTTTGCTAAGGAAAGAAACATTGGTGATGGGCCTATAATTGCCAATGTTGTCTGGCACCAAACTTGGTTTCTGCCTTATGGGCCTATTGGTCAGGTGAAATACTAGTAGGAGGCCTATAATTTAAACCAATTCCAGATAGATCGTGGACTATACGGAAAAGTTCTGTCTCCTGATTTGAAGCTTTGCTTATCCAGACAGCGAAGTGAGCTTGACTGGCAGCCCTCACCTTAGTAAGGTAACGGTTAGTCACAAACCCGGCAGCTTTCCGATTATCGGGTTCCATCTCCAAATGCACTCTAGCCTTCTCCTGTTTTGCTTCATAGCTCGCAGCTCCTGGTTAAACCAGGGTGCTGGCCGAGCTCTGCAATGGAAAGGACATTTAGGAGTTATTGTGTCCAAAGCCCTGGTGGCGGCAGCAAGCCAGCCATGGAAAGCCCTCAGGGCCCACAGAAGAAGGAGCAACATTTGCTGTAAATTTCAGCCCTCCATGAGACTTATCCACAAGTCTGAGTTGCTCCCTCCACGTGGACCCATTTTTAACTGCCCTCTTGTGAAACAAACACACCCACTGAAATAAACAGAATCAATGAGATGAATTTGACATTACACACAGTGGCAGGAAAAAGATCCCTTGTTGTGCAATGGTCTTTTTCTTTGGGACAAAGGTTTCTATCACAAAGGGGGAATTAGCACAAAGGAAGACTGGTAAAGGACACACTGGGCCGAGAGGCTGCCATTCCAAGAAGGAGAAAACATTGGCACCTGCTGTGAGGAGGAAGAAAATTGGAGTAAGGAAACAGAAAGCCATGCAGGGGGCAAGGCCCCACCCCAGTCCCTGTCAAGACGGGTGTGACTGGTCACAAGAAGTGTCACTCATACACAGAAGGCCAGGTGTGGGTTAAGCCAAGGGCAGTCCATGCTGCTGTCTCCCTCCACCAAACACCACAGTTCCCTTTCACAAGACCTGCCAGGCCAGCCTCTGGGCTGCTTCCAATGGCATCCAAGAAGCCTCCAGAACTCTCCCGCAGAAAGCCCTGGTCAGTCTCCACTGGCATGATCCCTGTGCTTGGCCGGAGGACTGAAACACCTGAAGTCTAAGCAACTGGCATGCAGCAAAGGACGACCAGCAGGGCCACAGGAACATCTGCCACCCAGGAACACAGGGCTGCCCGTTGTGTCCTTCTTTGCACATGTATACACAGATGGGGACACACACACAGGGGGCACAAACACAAACACAGACACACACACACACACACACACACACACACACACACACACACACACACACACACGCTTAGATGGGACCAGACATTTCCTGAGAACCAGCTGGAGGCCCCCCAAGCCATCCAGATTTAGCTCCTTTTTTTAGCTGTGCTACTTTTAAGTAGGCGGAAGGACAAAGATCGAGGACAGAGCCATGGCCACCAGGGAATTAGCAGCTCCTCTTCAGGCTCAGAGCCCAGCCGCCTCCCCAGCTGCATCTTCAGTCACACAAAGAAGCAACCCACTGCTGTTGCCGCCATGGTGAGTAGGGTGAGCTTTGGATTTGTACAGAGAGAGAACCTTTGGAAACCTTTAGGAAGACCAGGACTGGAGGGAGAAAGGCAATCCGTCCCTCTCTTGTGGTTCCCCGCCAAGCCTTTTGCCACCCCCTAGAGAGGAGGAGGCCTCCCAACAGCTCAGGCGAGCAAGGCAGGCACCATATTCCATCCCCCACCCTTTACAAGCTCATCCTTTGTACAAAGCAAGAGTCGGCTGTGGGTTGAGGGAATGTTTGTGTTTTCACATGGATCCTATTGCCTCTTCCACCATGGCAGGTCCAAACAACACTTGCCTTTCCTGGGCTGACACTGGGAAGATGATTAGTACCCAAATGTTTGTATTTACTTTCCAGCTGAGAACCACTGAGGTCTGCCTATTAGAAGCTGCATATTGGCAAGCAATGGACTGAGTTGCAAGACAGCAGAACTGGTCTCACAGGAAAGCTCCCTGTAAGCCTTCCCCTCTCCTTAGGAGAGTAGAGTTTAGGAAATGCATGCCCAAAAGAGCTGTGGGTGGGGTGACACTGGCCCTCTGGCTCTTGGGGAAGGCGGGCCCCTTTCAGCACCAGCTAGTAGGCGCCCAGCCACAGCCACAACCAGAGGCCAGCTGCTCTGTGTGGGTGGACCCAGTGGCACATCTACTGGGCCAATCCCCGGCCTTTTGCCTCCTCTTCCCAGGACAAGAACCTCAGGGCTAGTCCAGACTCACCACTAGCCACCCTCTTCCCCTGCCATGGAAGAGGCACTAGCCAGTGGTCCCTGAGTGCCACTGCCACCACTGCACCTAGGGCAGTACCCCCAACCCCTATAAGTGTCCTGGTCACAGCTACCAATGAGAAAGGTTGGCAGAGCTGGCAAAGGATGGACAGAAGGAGCTGTTCCTGAGCCCAGTGCTGCCCCCAAGTGCCTGAACCCAGCTTTCCAGGCCATTTCGGTCAAGCTTTCCCACTGAGGGACCTCTTCTTGCTTCGCAGTACCATCCCCTCAGCCCACCAACACACACTCAGCATCTCTTAATGGTTATGTCCCCACCATCCTGGTTGACTGGCCCAGCCTCTGCACGGCCTCCTTCTTTAGGTGCCAGAGAAGAAGAAGAGGCTTGCTAGATGAGACCAGCATTTATACCTTCCAATGTCTAAATCTAGTTTTAATCTTTTGTTTCCATGCATTCTCTACAGCATTTGGGAACACCGGGTGACGGCTGCAGAAGCCATGTAGACCAACTGTTGCAACACTGACGTCACCCTCACCTGGGGAAGAGTGATACTCCACTCAGGGAACATCATCTATGCTAATAACTTCCAGAAAAAGACCAGCACAAGTAGTATTTGATAGAATAACTGATTTCTGCACTTTAAGATTCTCAGACCTCAATACAAGAAAGAGAGAAAGGTTTCTAGTCCTCATGGGACTGTGTGGATAAGCTTTGAAAGAAGCCAGGAAAACAGCAAAGCTTCCAGTGGTCATAACTCCATCACACAGCCTTTCTTCCTGGTTTACTGTAATGTGTGTATCTGCAACCGGCTATTAAAATTCCTGGAACCTTTTATAGGAAAGTAAAATACATACACAAATGTATACTCTGTTCCACTACATTTTAACAGGAAATGAATATGAAAGGCTTGCAGATACCTGCCCCTTCTCCCAGAATTATTTAAAGTGAACCAACCAAGAGCTTTACTCACATTAATTGTGTAAAAGATCGGATTAATGTTTTATTTGTTTTAATGCTGGCTTTTGTATATTGCCTTGGGAGCACCTGTGAGAGCCAAAATGCAGTTTATAAATATTCTCACATAATCAGTAAATCCAGGTCACAGAAAGTATTGCAGGCAGGCCTGGCTTGCATGGGAGCAATGTAGAATTGTCCACTGAAACCAAATATGGACCAAGGTTTGAAAGTATGCCCTTGAAAGGAGGCCAAAGGGGCCAAGGGGCTATTGGCAAAGCCTCCTCCTGCTCCAAAGGAAGATCCGATCCCTGGAAAGAGTGCCCCCACCCCACCCAGGCAGGCAACCATTTTCTTTGCAGACACCCCACCCCATCCCCATACGAACACCTATATAAGGCAGCTGCACAGATGCGGAAGTAGAACAAAGCATCACAAATAAGGAGAGAAATTCAGAAATACTAGGAAAGCTTTTGCGGGTCAAAAGGGGCGGCATGGATTTTTGATAGAAAATGGAAGTTACAGGATTGCTAGTAGTTATGAGGCAGACGCACAGAGCTAAATCCATCTAATCTCCTTTACCATTTAACGGTGAGCACCATCCTAATTCCATGTTTCATAAAACTGCCTCCAAATCACCAGGAGAGATTAAAAACATAGAAATAGCCCTGCAATATTTTAAAAACAGAAATCACTCCTGGCATCTGGTCTCAAGCCTCGGCTGTAACCTACATATCAAAGGCATTAATTTAGAGCCAGCCTTCGATGCTGGTACAGAAGGGGGGCTTCATACAGAGTTCCCTCAACCGTGGAGGATAAGAGGGCAGCGGAACAGCAGTGGCCATGTCTGTGTCCCCAGCACTGGAGAAAACACATTCTGAGTTCTCACAGAGCAATCTTCTCAAATTGTAGGAAACTGCAACCTACCAGTATTGAAATATTAATACTTCTGCTTCATCCGAGGAAAAAGATCCATTTTGTCATCATCTTTTCCCCCAAGAACATTTACTTGCCTTCCTTGCTGGACTTCTTCAAGTGCACCATCTACTAGAAGGAACCCAGCAAGGAAAGGAGCCGTTTGCACGAAGACCGGTGCACCCAGCACGGCTCAAAGCACAGGGAACACCCTCAACACCCCCTGAATGTCCTCACTCGAGGTGCCAGACCAACAGAGGAGCACTCCTCTTTTGGCTAAAGGACTAGCTACTAGGATCACTTAGGCTGGCCAGTGTTTGGATTACTTGTGCCTTCAAGAGGAAAGTGTTATTCTCCACCCAGCTGGACCACTTGCTTTTATGTACAGAGGGGTTGGGGAACTTGTGACGCGCCAAATGTCACCGGATGCTGATTTCCATGCTCCCATGCCACTGGTTTTTGGCTAGGCCTGATGGAAACGGGCAACCAAAAGGATCTGCAGTACAGGGACATGAGCTGCCCAGTGAGATTTACAGAAAGGTTCATCCAAGAAGGCCATGGTCGACGTGAACCAAACCAAGGCTGTATATCCTAGCAGGCCCAGGAGACCAAGTGAGGTGGCTAAGCCCACAGCAAGGAATCAGTGCCAAAGCTAGCTGGAGTCCAGCTGACCTCAGTCAAACAGAATCATGACAGCAAAAGGGCAGAAGTCTGAGCCTAGCCAGGGTTTGCTCTGGAAAACACAAACCGCCATCCACATGGACAGAAGCCTCAGCTTGGTAGCTGGTGCCTCCCTCTGCTCACCGCTCTCTCACCTTCAGTCCAGCACTAAGAGGCAGCTACCACCAGAGTCTTCCTCCTGCAGTGTTTAGGGGCCTCCTCCTCATGACAGCCATTAAAAAGGAACAGGTCCACCTTGGCTCCATGGAATGAAAGAAAAGCTTACAAGATCCTTCCCCAAGTCAGTGCTCCCATCACTCCCTACCAGTAGGATCACAGCTGGCTGGGAATAATGGGAGTTGTGGTGGTGTAACACATCTGGAAGGCAGTGCTTTGGGAAAGCTGACCTCCACGGTCTCTTGATGAGGGAGGGCAGTGGAGACAAAAGGCAAGATGGCCATGGGCAGGTTCAGAATAATGGGCAGCCAATCTTAAATCACATGCCTAAGATTCTTAGCAGCCTCCCAGGCCCATTATTAGTTTGGCCAGCCATTACATCCCACTCAGATAGCAATGCCCCTACTCTGCTCCTTACGGCAGGTGGAGGAGGAAGGGAGGGGGACGGCAGTAGAAGAAGAGTATGAATGCTGCCCTAAGAACTGAGCAGTGGGAATAGATACAGGATAGGCATGGACCTGATCCACATGCTCAGCAGGAAGGGCAGCAAAAGTAACCAGGAGATCTCCCCAACATGCTCACCAGCAACTCCAGGAACGGCAGGAGAGGAGCATGAAGGCACCATAAAATTTTGCTTTGAAACCTGCTCCCCTTGCCCCCCGGTGCATCTTGGGTGAATTTGACCCCTTGAAACTGACATGCAAAGGTGCCTTGTTCTCCACAGGAACTGCCATTATGCCAGCCAACCTAAGCACAGGCAATACTTGGAAAATCTTTGTTTCCCTCTCTGGGCTGTAACCGCTGGCTGTGGAGCAATCGGAACACACTGATTCTTCATAAAAGGAGCTGTGCTAGCAGTTGTCACAGCAAGAGGCTGGGCTTGCAGGACTCTGCCTCGGCCCACACAGCAAGAAAAGCACTTCAGAGGTCAGGGGGCAAATGCTGCCTGCCCCCTTTGACCATTAAGCACTAGGAGTGCACATTAGCTGGACTGCCTTCATCCTTTGCAGCGATCACTCCTGAGAGCTCCTTTTTGGGAACAGGCTGGGGAAAACAGAAGAGGCTTCATCTCAGTTTCAGAGGCTAACAAAAGAGACAAGTCTGGTCCTTACCCATATCTAACAGAGCTCTGTCTTTCCCTTTTGGTAGAAAGTGTGGAGAGACTCACGCCCCCATCCACTGAGAATATTCAGGCCATCACATTTCTCTAACTAGGACTGAGGAGCCGAGATACCTCCTAAAATTTAGGCTGCCATGAAGATTTGTCAGAACTGCTGGGGTGGGTGTGAGGGAGACCAATGAAACAGTGACGTAAAAACCAACAGGAAACTGAAGAGTTACCCACTGCATCATCTCAGCCACACCTAGAGAGTCCTCTGAAGGAAGGAGCCCCACTTCTTAAGCCATGCTTCCATCATCCTCTTCCTGCTGGCATCCAGGTAGAACCCCTCGCTGCCACGGGAACAGCACCACACAAAGGTCAAGACTCCACACACTCATGGAAAGCTCACTAGCCATCACACCAATTTCAAAGGGACCAACCAGCCCTGCTGATTTGGGAGCCAGAAATGAGACTTCTGGTACCTTGTAAACTCAATTTCCAGATGTATGCATCACTCCTGGGCATTTCACCTTCCCTGGTTGATCATTTGGGGCCAGCAGGCAGATGCCTAGAAAAGTCACCTCTAAGGAGGATTCACTAGTACCACAAGAAAGCCACATCTGCCCCCAAAGGTCTATGTGCAGAGACAAGCAATCACCCAGGAAAAAGCCAAAGAAAAGCCTAAGATTTAAGAATAAGATGTGGGAGGGGACAGTGGCCAAGCAATGTTTATAGGATCAGCCATAGACATCACTGAACCATATATTTTATGCTCACAAATATATTTTTAAAAACTGGAAGAATTGTTTTTTCATTTGCCACAGATTGGAGGAACAGAGGCAAAACATAGAGTGAAATAAGATAAAGCTAAAATCCAGCCCGTTTCTTGTCTTCCATCTAGATATAGTATATGACTTTGCCCATTCTGATTTCCCAGGAGCAAAAATGGAAAAGGCCTTTCAAAATGTTGTTGCTAATTGAGAAGTCTGCCTTCCTTCCCCTGCCCTGCAAAACGGTGGTGTACCTTGTAAACTCAATTTCCAGATGTATGCATCACTCCTGGGCATTTCACCTTCCCTGGTTGATCATTTGGGGCCAGCAGGCAGATGCCTAGAAAAGTCACCTCTAAGGAGGATTCACTAGTACCACAAGAAAGCCACATCTGCCCCCAAAGGTCTATGTGCAGAGACAAGCAATCACCCAGGAAAAAGCCAAAGAAAAGCCTAAGATTTAAGAATAAGATGTGGGAGGGGACAGTGGCCAAGCAATGTTTATAGGATCAGCCATAGACATCACTGAACCATATATTTTATGCTCACAAATATATTTTTAAAAAACTGGAAGAATTGTTTTTTCATTTGCCACAGATTGGAGGAACAGAGGCAAAACATAGAGTGAAATAAGATAAAGCTAAAATCCAGCCCGTTTCTTGTCTTCCATCTAGATATAGTATATGACTTTGCCCATTCTGATTTCCCAGGAGCAAAAATGGAAAAGGCCTTTCAAAATGTTGTTGCTAATTGAGAAGTCTGCCTTCCTTCCCCTGCCCTGCAAAACGGTGGTGGTGGAGTAGTGGTAAGTGGGCGCCTAGTCCCTGCTGCTGTTTGGGGAAAGAAGGACTTCACACCTCCCAGCACATTGCGGACTGAGCCGCCATGTTGGGAGCATCAGAGACACAGAAAGCAAGAGATGCTGATTCTTGCATTCGCACACAGAGTTCCTCCCCCGCCTCTATGAATAAGATGGGGCACTCAGGCACACCTTCAGGGGCAGGGGGCAGACAGCAGCAGCAGCAGAAGGGTACCCAGGGCGTCTAGAGTGCGGATGGGCAAACCTGAAAATCTGTCCATTGCCAGCAGCACAGTGAACACAGGAGGGGAGAAACATGGCGGCACACATTATTAGATTCCGGCAGTGCCGAGCCTTGTGCCAAGTTGTGCCCATCTCCCGCTGGAGAGGGGCACATTTACCAGACAAGACTAGCAGGGGAGCTCTCGCAGAATTCTGCACAGTGTAGTTGCTGCTCTGCAGCCAAGAAGGGTTTTTTGGGGGGTCCCAGACAAAGGGCAAGAAGATTAAGCAGTCACACATAGAGATGGGGTAATGGACAAAGTAAGCAATATCCCCCATGCAGCGTTCGCTTCTCATAATGTTGCTGTTTAGTAGAATCTGGAACATGTCAGACCAGTCCTTTCTCTGGAATTTAATGAGGATTCCATGTTTAATTTCCAAAGCAAACAAAGGCAATATGAGGGGGAAGGAAACAGCAGAAATTTTTCATAGGAGAACTACAGACAGCAGTCTGATTTTAACATTTAAGAAGAAGACTCTGGAAGGATGCTGCTAGGATAAGCTGGAAGGCAAAGAAGGGGGCTGGAGGGCAGGTGGGAGGCACACTGAACGGCAGGTGTCTGCCCTTAGTCAAGTGAGGTCAACAAATTCTGGACAGGTCGACAGAGCAAGCAGAGTTGCTGTCAGTCACCATGTCCGCCTCCTTCTCTGTTCTCTTAAGAGTGTAAAAAACAAACAAATACCCCTCCCACCCCCACCTGAAGAGACCCCTCGTTCACTGGTCAGTTGCCTACAATTTAGATATTTTAAAAAATTATAGCCTGGAACATTTTAAAAGGGGAAAAAATCTACAAACATTCCAGTGGGAGATTTTCTCAAACTTTAGTGTCCCCTTGGATCAAATGTTTGTTTGCGTTTTCATTCCAATGGAGTCCTTTCTCTACAAGAGAAAGCCATTAAACTGTTGTGCTTTGATGCACAGATATATTAAGTATCTGAAAGGTTTTTCATGCATCAAGCAATTCTATTTCCTACCCTAATACAGTGTAACCTCCATTGCATTATTATTCCCTTCCTGAAATTACTCCATTTTAACATTTTCTAACAAAGAAGCTGCTAGAGGTCCTTAAAAAAAATCATGGCTTCCAAAAAGGGGATGAGGCTGTGCAAGACTGTGTTTTTAAAAGGCTCAGTTTGGTCTTTTCTACAACTAAGCTTCTGCCACTGAAGATACTTTCCAAACCACTGGGACCAATCAATCACTCAATCAATCTATTACAAACAGTTACTATTTCGGCTGTGAAAAATCTAACGGATTTTTAACCTACATGGCGTCTATTTTCTCCTCTTCTCTCCACACAGCTGAAATGCAAATGCAGGCAAATCAGATGCTGGCATGGATGGCAGTGACAACAAGCAGAGCTTCTACACAGAGAGAGCTGCAGAACATTCCCCAGAACAGGTTAGCCCTGGCTTTAAGTAGAAAGTTGCTGTCTGATTAGCAGCTGATTTCCACACAGCTGGGCAAACTATTTTGCCAGAGAAGAATAAAACATTTGCAGCATGTTAAAATAAAAAAATAAAGATTTATACTGGAACTACCGCTTGGTTCCTTTATGTTGCTCTTCTAGGAGCCTATCTGCCTGGACCTGAAAGGAACAAACCACACTTTTTCTTTGCACACAAGGTAAGGCAAGAGAAAATAAGCTGACGATGGTGCCCACGAAAGGACAGGCAGGGGCTATACCAGACACAGCTCTTCCGTCCTGCACCAAACAGATGGCAGAGGCTGCAACTGGATCAATTACACTAAACCAAGATGTAATTTCATCTGATGCAACATCCAATTGTATTTTCATTTCTTCTTTAGTTGGGCCTCAGTTTTTATGCAAAAGACACAAACTCCAGCTTCTGATTCCAAAGCAAAGCTTGCACCTCAAAAAATAGCACTACCCTGGCGACTTGAATTAGCTCCCGTTTCTCTCTTTTCCTGCTCTGATGTGGGCTCAAGCTGCTGGGATAGCTCTCTCAAAGCTCTCCGAGAGGAAAAGCTGTTCTTTTAGAGGTAACTCAGAATCTGGACGGCTATCTTACAGGATTACAATATGGCTCAAAGTCGACTTTGAGAACTGGGGACAGGAGAACAAAGCTCTCCAAGTATCGCTCTCAGCTTTAAGCCTTGGGATTCTTGCCTCAAACACAGAAAGATGCTGTGCTAGTACCTATTCAGTGTTCCTGTAATTAAATATGTTTCTGCAGAGATGGGCTAAGCAAAGGGGAGACAGGACACAGGGATGGATTTTATTTCTATTTTCCTGTTGAGTATATTTCAGAGGCTGCAAAGAGTTAATGGCAAAAAAAATGGCCAGCTCAGGATCCAGACCCATGGTGGCTACTACTGGGCACCTTCGGCACAAAAACCACTAGCCCAAGGTCTGCCTCTCCCAGGCAGAAACCCTGAGATAAACCACATACCCCACATCTCTTTCGGGCGTTGTCCCCCTCACATATTTACACACATGAAGGTACTGGGGTCCAGGACATACTGCCAACCAAACACAGGCTAAGCCATCCCACTCTCAACATGAGGATCTTTCCATCAACCCAATGCCCCTGGCAAACCTCTGCAACAGCTGCAGCAAGATCCCCCTCCCCAAGGTTTAGGGTCGTCTCCCCCTACCCCTCCCACTTCCCACCCTGGTGGTGGTGGTGGTGGTGAAATGGAGAAAGAAATCAAAAGCGGACCAAAGTGCAAGCCTGGACTTGCCCACCGCCTGGACCCATAGCAAGGGGTCTCTGGGGAGAAGCTCCCCCAGACCGGCCCCTCAGGTGGTGGGGACGCTTTCGAGTCCCCGGGCCGCTTCCCTCTCTCCCTCGTGTCCGCGGAAGCGAGGAACCCCAAGCGGAGAACCGGGCTGCCCTTTTCAGTCAGCTCTGCCCTGGTCCGGAGGCGGGCGCGGGAGATGTCCATTGCCGACGGGGCGCCCGACCGTCCGCCCGCTTTCTCTCTCAATCAGTCCCCGGGCGCACAGCCTGCCCCTACCTGGGCTGGTCCAGGAGTTGAGCAGCAGGAGGCACGAAGTGACCAGCGAGGAACCCCAAGCGGAGAACCGGGCTGCCCTTTTCAGTCAGCTCTGCCCTGGTCCGGAGGCGGGCGCGGGAGATGTCCATTGCCGACGGGGCGCCCGACCGTCCGCCCGCTTTCTCTCTCAATCAGTCCCCGGGCGCACAGCCTGCCCCTACCTGGGCTGGTCCAGGAGTTGAGCAGCAGGAGGCACGAAGTGACCAGCAGCCACATGCCATCC